AAAGCAGTGGGTGAGGCCGCTGGTAGAGGCAGCCTGGAACCCAACGCTCGAGGGGCGCCTATGAACAGACATGAATCAGCATAGAAGTGCATGATCGAGACACAAAAAACCTTAGAGCAACATTAGCACTGTGTGGATGCGTCTGGCAGTTCCGCTTGAAGCAGGTGACACCACGCAGTATAGGTCCCATCGGAGTGCCTTCATACCTGTTGGGGTGCGGGCTCCATCTGTTCGTGTCGGAGCGGTCGGCGAGGCCGCAGATGGGCAACCCAACGCTCCAGGGGTGCCTATGAACAGACATGAATCAGCATAGAAGTGCATGATCGAGACACAAAAAACCTTAGAGCAACATTAGCACTGTGTGGATGCGTCTGGCAGTTCCGCTTGAAGCAGGTGACACCACGCAGTATAGGTCCCATCGGAGTGCCTTCATACCTGTTGGGGTGCGGGCTCCATCTGTTCGTGTCGGAGCGGTCGGCGAGGCCGCAGGTGGGCAACCCAACGCTCCAGGGGTGCCTATGAACAGACATGAATCAGCATAGAAGTGCATGATCTAGACACAAAAAACCTTAGAGCAACATTAGCACTGTGTGGATGCGTCTGGCAGTTCCGCTTGAAGCAGGTGACACCACGCAGTATAGGTCCCATCGGAGTGCCTTCATACCTGTTGGGGTGCGGGCTCCATCTGTTCGTGTCGGAGCGGTCGGCGAGGCCGCAGGTGGGCAACCCAACGCTCCAGGGGTGCCTATGAACAGACATGAATCAGCATAGAAGTGCATGATCGAGACACAAAAAACCTTAGAGCAACATTAGCACTGTGTGGATGCGTCTGGCAGTTCCGCTTGAAGCAGGTGACACCACGCAGTATAGGTCCCATCGGAGTGCCTTCATACCTGTTGGGGTGCGGGCTCCATCTGTTCGTGTCGGAGCGGTCGGCGAGGCCGCAGGTGGGCAACCCAACGCTCCAGGGGTGCCTATGAACAGACATGAATCAGCATAGAAGTGCATGATCTAGACACAAAAAACCTTAGAGCAACATTAGCACTGTGTGGATGCGTCTGGCAGTTCCGCTTGAAGCAGGTGACACCACGCAGTATAGGTCCCATCGGAGTGCCTTCATACCTGTTGGGGTGCGGGCTCCATCTGTTCGTGTCGGAGCGGTCGGCGAGGCCGCAGGTGGGCAACCCAACGCTCCAGGGGTGCCTATGAACAGACATGAATCAGCATAGAAGTGCATGATCGAGACACAAAAAACCTTAGAGCAACATTAGCACTGTGTGGATGCGTCTGGCAGTTCCGCTTGAAGCAGGTGACACCACGCAGTATAGGTCCCATCGGAGTGCCTTCATACCTGTTGGGGTGCGGGCTCCATCTGTTCGTGTCGGAGCGGTCGGCGAGGCCGCAGGTGGGCAACCCAACGCTCCAGGGGTGCCTATGAACAGACATGAATCAGCATAGAAGTGCATGATCTAGACACAAAAAACCTTAGAGCAACATTAGCACTGTGTGGATGCGTCTGGCAGTTCCGCTTGAAGCAGGTGACACCACGCAGTATAGGTCCCATCGGAGTGCCTTCATACCTGTTGGGGTGCGGGCTCCATCTGTTCGTGTCGGAGCGGTCGGCGAGGCCGCAGATGGGCAACCCAACGCTCCAGGGGTGCCTATGAACAGACATGAATCAGCATAGAAGTGCATGATCGAGACACAAAAAACCTTAGAGCAACATTAGCACTGTGTGGATGCGTCTGGCAGTTCCGCTTGAAGCAGGTGACACCACGCAGTATAGGTCCCATCGGAGTGCCTTCATACCTGTTGGGGTGCGGGCTCCATCTGTTCGTGTCGGAGCGGTCGGCGAGGCCGCAGGTGGGCAACCCAACGCTCCAGGGGTGCCTATGAACAGACATGAATCAGCATAGAAGTGCATGATCTAGACACAAAAAACCTTAGAGCAACATTAGCACTGTGTGGATGCGTCTGGCAGTTCCGCTTGAAGCAGGTGACACCACGCAGTATAGGTCCCATCGGAGTGCCTTCATACCTGTTGGGGTGCGGGCTCCATCTGTTCGTGTCGGAGCGGTCGGCGAGGCCGCAGGTGGGCAACCCAACGCTCCAGGGGTGCCTATGAACAGACATGAATCAGCATAGAAGTGCATGATCGAGACACAAAAAACCTTAGAGCAACATTAGCACTGTGTGGATGCGTCTGGCAGTTCCGCTTGAAGCAGGTGACACCACGCAGTATAGGTCCCATCGGAGTGCCTTCATACCTGTTGGGGTGCGGGCTCCATCTGTTCGTGTCGGAGCGGTCGGCGAGGCCGCAGGTGGGCAACCCAACGCTCCAGGGGTGCCTATGAACAGACATGAATCAGCATAGAAGTGCATGATCTAGACACAAAAAACCTTAGAGCAACATTAGCACTGTGTGGATGCGTCTGGCAGTTCCGCTTGAAGCAGGTGACACCACGCAGTATAGGTCCCATCGGAGTGCCTTCATACCTGTTGGGGTGCGGGCTCCATCTGTTCGTGTCGGAGCGGTCGGCGAGGCCGCAGGTGGGCAACCCAACGCTCCAGGGGCGCCTATGAACAGACATGAATCAGCATAGAAGTGCATGATCGAGACACAAAAAACCTTAGAGCAACATTAGCACTGTGTGGATGCGTCTGGCAGTTCCGCTTGAAGCAGGTGACACCACGCAGTATAGGTCCCATCGGAGTGCCTTCATACCTGTTGGGGTGCGGGCTCCATCTGTTCGTGTCGGAGCGGTCGGCGAGGCCGCAGGTGGGCAACCCAACGCTCGAGGGGTGCCTATGAACAGACATGAATCAGCATAGAAGTGCATGATCGAGACACAAAAAACCTTAGAGCAACATTAGCACTGTGTGGATGTGTCTGGCAGTTCCGCTTGAAGCAGGTGACACCACGCAGTATAGGTCCCATCGGAGTGCCTTCATACCTGTCAAGGTGCGGGCTCCAACTGTTCGTGTCGGAGCGGTCGGCGAGGCCGCAGGTGGGCAACCCAACGCTCCAGGGGCGCCTATGAACAGACATGAATCAGCATAGAAGTGCATGATCGAGACACAAAAAGCCTTAGAGCAACATTAGCACTGTGTGGATGCGTCTGGCAGTTCCGCTTGAAGCAGGTGACACCACGCAGTATAGGTCCCATTGGAGTGCCTGCATACCTGTAAAGGTGCTGGCACTGTCTGTCCGCGTTATTGCAGTGGGGGAGGCCGCAGGTGCAACCAGCCGACATGCCAACACACTTGGAGTCACTGGAGAGATGCAAGAGAGAAGACGGAAGAATGTTAAGGGGGTGTTATTGCTTTTGGCCCAGGAGTATGGGCCCACTGGTGCAGCACTCACAGCCCACACATTGTTACGTTAAAAGACATTCAAGTTACGTCAATAACCTTACCTGTTCTAACGGCTGTTTCTTCTAGCTCGTTTGTAGGCTCCCAACATGTGTCTGCACCTCCGACCAGGAAGTTGGTGGAATCACGCAGAGGTGCCTGATGCTCAGGGGAAAATAGCATATGATTTACTGGCCATTAAGAAAAATAAAGTGCATGGAAATTTAGAGAGGTGGATGGTTGTCGTTGCAGATACGCTCTACACTGTAGGTAGGAAATCCAGCCAGTGCAGTACTACCGCTACCCCGGGGTTTTGAAGGGACGTCACATACTACTGATATACTACCGCATGCCAGCACAATGTTTATCCAAGTTAAGACTGGTAAGGTAGGGGTCGAACCCTAGATCCTTGAATTGCTGCAGTGCGTGCGTTCGATCCGGCGCTCTAACCCACCTTGCCAAAGCTCTTCGATGATGAGCGGAACGGCTTGAAAAAGAAAGCACGATCGGCCACGGCTGAACCGCATGAAAGCGATTTGGCGAGCGATGAGCTAGGCTATCGCTGGTCGCTGTCGCCTGTCGCAGTGTTCGGTTCTAAATTCCCTGAACACTTTGGTCATCGCCTGGAGGTCGCTGCGTGCGATTTGCCTCGGCGAGTGACAAACTGAGCAACAGGTCTCCTGGAAAATCGCTCACATGCTGGATGAAACAGACAAGCATAAACCGCATGAAAGCGACTTGGCAAGTGACGAGACAAGCAACGGCGACCCGCTTCGCTGTTGCTCGGTCGGTTGCGCGAGGAGGCAAACCGCATGAAAGCGACGGGGGCAAGTGGCCAGGACGGTGAGCGACGTTTTCTAGAAGAGTAAAGCTATACGCACTATGTCGTGCACCTCGATCGGAAATGGCTATAAACACTATACGCAGAGAGCTGATGCCATCATGTCATTTGGGTCACCCTTTTCGGACGGCGTGTGTTTAACCGAACCTTACCCCCCTTGCCTGCGTTCAAGCCGCTTCGCGGCGACACTGTGCGGCTGCTAATTGCAAACCTTAACCTGTACACGCCGCTTCGCGGCGTCCAGCCGGCAACCCAAGCCCCGCTGTCCCCTCCTGCACCTCCGGAAAGCGAGTCCCATACCATTCAGTTCTGCAAAATTTCGTAAATATCAATCCTTATCTTTTTTTTTTTTTTTCAGTGTTATTTGTAGTAAAGAAATGTCTTAAACATCGTAAATGCCCTACAAAAAAAAATAGTGATAAAAAAAAAAAAAAAACTAAGGAAACGTCGCCCTCATTGGGGATCGAACCGCGGACCGCTGCGTATAAAGCAGACACCTTACTATCATGCTACGCCACCTCTTTGGAAACTCGCCGCTGATACGAGCTTCGCGTAGTGCGTAGGGCCATTTCCAGTCAAGGTGCACGACGTAGTGCGTATAGCTTTACTCTTTCCAGTAATCTAAGAACCGAGCGATGCGACTGGCGACAGTGAGAAATCTCCGTCGCTCGTCGCAGACTCTCGACTCCGTCGCTCGTCGCAGACTCTCGACGCCGTCGCTCGTCTCGTCACTCGCTAAATCGCTTACATGCGGTTCGGCTTTCATTGCAGAACTCGGAAATACTCGACAGACAACATGCTCCCTTACCACTCTGCGTCGCTTGTCAAGGGGTTCGCTGCGCTCGCCAGATCTCCGCTTCTTTGAAAATAAACGGGGCAAAACTCCTGGTTTGAGTTGTACGTTCCTCACCGGGAAGCCCAAGGACTCCATCACCCTGGGGCTTCGCACGTAGTCCTCATCACGAAAGTGATAGGAACACAAGCGATCACTCGTAGTTGGAAGCCACGCCGGGGAGGACGGTCGTGCGAGCCGGATCCAAAGCGCACGAAGTTGTTCGTCCTTTGGGAACTGGTGAATAGGTTTTCCGCACCGAATCAGGAGGTTGCCGCAGTCCTCTACCGCACAGTGCCGCACCATCTCGGCATTAGAACGCGACAGGATGATCTAAGCGTTCCAGAGACCGAGGTACGCAAGCGATCGGGCCACCACAACTCAATGCAACGAGTCCACCGTCGCCATCGTCGGGAAAATGGCGAAGGGGTGAAGGCAGAGCCAGCAGAGCAGGCAGCGAAGGCTTGATAATTGCGTTCAGAACTAGAGAAGAGGCGTAGTGAGCCGTACTTCCGCAGAGCGGCGCTGCTCCGTTCTTCCAGGAGACAACCCGTGAGACGACCTAGGTCACTTCCCGGCAATGTACCTAGACGGACATTCCAAACGAGGCGTTCGCGACAAACACCAGGTGCTGTTTGGGAATCGTTTAATTCGTTCTAAAATTCGTTTTCGTGACTTTTTTAACAAGATATTGGTGTGTTCGATGTGATACTGCTCCTTTGAACACATATAGACCATAAAATAGGCGCCAAAATTTCGTTGTAGTATCCCTTTAAGCAATCGGGAGTGTCAGGGAAGACTGCGGCTTGCGAGATATTAAGCTGTAACTGTGCGATATTTTCGGAGACGTCTGAACGCCTTTGTTGTACGTTTAATAAGTGATTTTGACGATGATGAGTTTTGTATTTAAGGTATATTCGGAGAATTTCTTGAATGCGCATGATGTTAAGCGGAAGTTGGCGGGCTTCGACAAGTTTTGCTTATGCGGATGAATCTGGAGGCAATCCAAGACATATCTTTAGCGATTTATTCTGTCCTGCCTGAAGGTTCGATATCTTGGTTGTGCATGCATTTAGCACTGCTGACGAATACCACAGCAAGCCATTTACGAGGGAACTTTTGTACTCTGAGCATGGAGTGCGTTGCGTTACCCTAAGATTTGCCAGTCAAGCAGTGGAGAACGTGACTTGCTGAGTCTATCTTTTTCCTCGACCTCTTAATAGGAGGGGTTCATGTAAGGTTTCGGTCAATAGTAAATCCGGAAACCTTATGCTGTGAATCATAAGGAATCGTTTTTTCTGCCCAACAAGGCGGTAAGTTGGGCGAGTTGGTTGAACATATTTAAACATAAAAACAGAGCAAAAAATTTGACAAGGGACGAGTGAAAGAAGTGCACGGACAAAGCGCTGACTATCAACTAGATTTTAATTTTCAAGCGAACCAGAAAAATAAACACAGGGAGCATAGGAAAGAACCAATCAAGAAACAAAAATATAACCCAACCGACAAGATTTCTTCCCGAAATCACCCTCACACGTGCCTGCCATTCTCCCTAAGGTGCAACCCCACCGCGCATGACGTTTTCATGCTTTTTGAATGGCTTATGACTTTCTTTCTATGTATATTACATTTATAAAATTAATGTCAAATTAAAGAGCTGATTTTAAACGATGCTTTAATGTCTCGATATTACGATTATTTTTAGTCGTTAGTTAATTATTTAGCTTTTAATAGACCACAGTCTCTAATATTGAAAAATTTATTTCTCGAGTTATAACGTACCATTGTCCACGATTTTTTACGTGAGCGTTCGGTTGGATGTAATAAAGTAAAAAAGTAAGTAACGAACTGTACAAATAATGTATATTTTAAAATAAAAAATAAAGTTGAAAATTGTACTTTTTTATGGCGCTGTAAAAACGAAATCACGTCAACTAATTGAAATAGCGAGACATTAAATTATGAAGCATCCTTTGATATTACAATTTCCAGAACTTTAATATTGATATATCACACGTTAATAATGTCGTAAGACCTGAAACTTTTCCCATTCAGTTACGACAAATTGTAGTTTCTTATTATAAAACACAGATGGCGACCCGTGTTCAAGAAGAGCTTGATGTGCATTTTCCGTCGTGTGCCGCATGGAACGCCACGGAAAAGACAGAAAAAGCACCAGATGTCAGGGTGTCAGATGCCTGGATGCTCGCAGGGAGCGAGCCAGAGATGTCAAAACAACAAGCGCGAGACTGCGGGTGCACCACAGCTCCTTTTCGCGCGTTCTACTGTGCGTCGGATCACATGCCGGTCGCGATCCAAATGAAATGGGCGCCATGAAATGGATTCTGCCATTTCAAATTCCGCCATGTATGCGAAAACATTTTAATGTTTTTATCACTTGCAAAAACCATTTTCGCAATCAAACTATGCTTGTCGGAATGGTTCGACTAAATTTTGTTTAAAAAACCACCTCGGTGGCTCTTAAGTAACAATGATATTAAAACAAAACACAAAACATTAAATCATCGCGGTGTCTCTGAGCTAACGCGCTGGCCCATGAATCGATATTTGTCGGATTTAAATATCGGCCGAGGTGCCCACAATCCGACGGAGGCCAATCTGAGATTTCGGTTGCACGTCAAAACATCTCCAGTTAGTTAAAATAAACCCGCATTTTTTTTTCATCATTTTTTTCATCAGCCCGTAGCAAACGCTACGGGCTGATGAAGCCACTGAAGCATCGCCAAGAGCGCGAAGTTAAGCTGTTCGTTCTCTTTTTGTGCCTATAGACGCTTTGCAGCAGCTGTGCATGGGCAGCGCCATAACTGACCTTCAGTTTTTATTTCCCCTTATTACGTTTACTTCACTTCATTATTACCATAGCAGGTCAGGTTATTGCCATCTTAGATTTCATTGTGTCTTTTTCCACAGCATTGGCTTTTGTGGAGGCTCGTCCACACCAATTTCAGTGGCTCGGTATCTCGGTAAAACAAGAGAAGGTCAGCAATGGCGGCTGTATTCTGGCGCGTGTACAAAGCGTCTATACGGTCGGGCTAAACTAGAGCCACTAAATAAGCTACGCTTCATACACATCTTGGTGCTTAAAATGATGGTTGTCAGTTATCTGACACTTTATCTGAAATCACAGGAAACGCTTTTCTGTTTTCCACAAATGTTTAAACAGTTCGAGAAAAAGTAAAGCAATATTACGTGACCTACCTGACACCGAATGCTGAGGAAGTCGCACTTTTGAATCATGACGATCAGACGTTGCGTTTGATTTATTACTAACCAACAAGTTGGCGGCGCCCACAACAATGTCGGGAGGACAAGTGCCGAAAATCTAAGCGTAGCTCATTTGGTTTACCGCGCAGGCTAAACCAGCTAAACCAAGTGCGGTGGGGGATCGTTGACCAAGTGTGTTGTGGCACCGCAGATCAGAGCACGTGGAGAAATGCTCGAGCGCGAGCTCCTTTCAGGGCACGGAGCTCACGCTGCAAAACCTTTAGGGACTAAATCCCCTCGATGCCGTTTGCGCAGGTCTTTCATGTAACCTTGAACGTGCCAGTGCACGAGGCCCGTCTCTCGAGCGGCCCTTGGAGGCAAATGGCGGCGCAGCACTAAAATGACTGGCCCTTGAAAGAGAATGGCGGTGGAGCACCCACTCGTGGCACGTGTCTTGCGCGTTTCCACAACAATGCTTGGCGGAACTTGTAAAAAACGCTTTTACCAAGGGGCTTTAGCCGGGACCCTGGGTTCAGTCGCCCATCTGTATCCTACCGTCGTGCGATCGTGTACCACATATACTGCGTAATGCACGTTAAAGACGCCAAGCTAAGAAAATGGCACGTGAACGCAAGAGACAAAAAAAATAACAACGACAAGAACAACAAGAACATACACATAGGCGCACTTAATAAAAATGATTGAAATAATAGAATTGATTATAATTGTGCTTTCAAAGGTTTCAGCGCACCAAAAAGGCTATAAAAGCAAGCTCGATGCATTGGATGGTGCGATTGTTCACTGGAAGTGTAGTTCAGGGCAGTATGCTCGCACTTTTTTGTTCCGCTTCGCTCACACAATAAAATCAAATACTCTACTGGTAATCACGCCTTTATCTCTGCCCCCTACGCGGCAAACCCGCGAAACAAATAAAGAAAAAAAAATGTATTTAGTGAAACAAAGCTACCTTCTGCATATGTGCAAGGCCCTCAGTTTTCACGTGATTACATGCTTGTTTATCATTATTGTTTTCGTTTCCCACTGCGATTCAGTTCGTGCTTTTTCGTGTGCTACATGCATTAGATGCCAAGGTAACCAAGGAGCATTCTATTTCGGGGATTGTAAAAAAAGAACTTGACACGGGTGCCACAATCAATACAAAATATTTTATAAGCTTCACTTGTGACCGCTGGCCTGAGTAAACGTTGTTTGTCAAAAACAATTGCGATTGTATAAAATCACGTGGGAAAAACTCGTTCTAAGCACACGACCGTTAGCATGCAGTGAATACTCATAATCGGCGCCGAGATGATTGGTAGCTGTCAGCGGGTGGAGTTTTTCTATCAACACACAGTTAGAATGTTTCCTTCTTTCTGTTGTAAGCAAACAGGAGACAACCTACACCAAATCTTAGGGTAATAAAGTACTATATGAACATTCAAACATTACTGCCTGAGCAGTATATGCGTGCAAGCTTTGGCTTTTAGTGCACGCTTAACTTTCGATACGCTCAACGCTAGCGTAAAATGTAGCGCTGCTTCAGTCTTAATCAGCGTACCGTGTGCGTGCTTACACTGCATTTTATGCAACGTCATACTCTACCCGTTTGCATCTTTTTTGATTTATGCACACCACCACTTGCGCGCATAAATCAAGGATGGCACAATAAAAAATTTACAGCTTTTTTTTTTCTTTACAGCAAAAATAATTTACGCATGCCTAACGCTCATTCTCCGCCCATGGGTAGCGCCAGGTAACAAACAGGTTCAAAAGTTTCATCCCGGACGGACACCTTATTCAAAAGTTAAAAGTGATTTTCTGAAAATTTCAATGGGGAAATGGAGCCCGTTTTTGCCCGTTTTCGGTTTCTGGTGCCCATAGAGCCCCATGTATTCGAAAACTACGTCGGCCGTTATTTTCCCATTGAACTTTTCAGAAAATCACTTATAACTTTTGAATAAGGTATCGGATCGGGCTAAAACTTTGACATCTGGTTGTGACCTCTAGCGCTACCTTTGGGCGGAGAATGAGTGTTTGGCGATGCCTAGTTTATTCTTGCGGTAAAAAAAAAATCTTGTAATTTTTTTTTTGTGACAGACTGTACATTGC